ACATTATATGTTAGACTTATTTGTAATTATAATTATAACAATCATTGCATTACTTATCAAATATATGTTCGGCAACACTAGTGTCGACAGCACTCAACGGGTCGTCCATTAATACGATGTCTGAGTTCCGGTACAGAGCTCTAGATATAACACAAATTAAAGAATAATTATTAGTATAACTTAATTAAATAAATAATTATAATAAATTTATGTGAATTAATTTATAATTAATTTAAAAATATAGTAGCTTTAAACAACTCCATTTAGAATTAATTTTATTATCGATAAGAATTTAAACTACATGTTAGATTAGAATGCAATAATTAAAATTTTAAATAATAATTTCAGGTAATTATTTCTTAATTATCTTAAATTATCTTAAATATCTTATTTCTTATTTATCACCAAAAAAATCCATAATTATAATTTATAATAATGTTATTCAATTCATCTAATAATAATTTCCAAATCCTTTTTCTTAAATTATGCATTTTACTATTTTAAAAACTGCAATTTTGTATTAAAGTTGCAAAGATTATGGATTGTTTTGGTGATAAGTTTGAAATGGACTTGTAAGGGAGGGGCAATTATTTTTATATTTTTCATTTAAAATAAAACTTATTTATGACATTAAATAACGATAAAGTGGACAATAAGTTACACCATATGTTATAGCTTTACAATGCAATGCACACAAACCTGGCTAACGTGATGCGGGCCTTCTGTCCCCCCGACAGCTGTACCCCTCTCTCACCGACTAATGTCTTGTCTCCGAACGGGAATATCTCGAAGTCTCGCTCCAAAGCGCACACCTCTACCACTCGCTTATATCGGGATTCGTTATATTCGGCACCAAAAAGTATATTATTTTGAACACTAGTATTGAAACTCCAGGACTCCTGAGAGGCATAGCTTATCGATCCTACAATTTCTATACTTCCCGACAGAAGCGGTAGTTCTTTCAAAATGGTCATCAATAGTGAGCTCTAAAATGAATTAAAAATATTAGTTTAACATAACATTAATTTTGAGTTATAATCACAGAATTCCCAGGTGCTATTCCTAGGGGCAGACGCTATACAAAATTGTGCACATTATTCATACACTATTCACATTTATTGTGAGTAATATATAAAATATTGCCAAAGTTAAACAATAACTAGGTTTAAATAATAAAAGCCCCTTTTCGTTTTGGAGTGTTTAGGTTATAATAGGTTGTATACCTTTCCGGCGCCCACCGGTCCGATCACAGCCAAGAGATCGCCCGGATTTAAATTAAGCGATATATTCTTTAAGGTTGGAAACGGACTTTCCTGTAATACAAATAAAAATTTAATTGTAATTTTTAATTTATTAAATAGTGACAAATATGAATATATAAATGCATACATCACTCCATTTGGCGGTTATGTTATTAACAGAAACTTTAGGCAATTGTTTACCATTTTTTGCACTTTTTGGTAAAATATTATTATTGCCTGAATTTACATCCCTTTCTTCCAACTCTAGAAATGTCTGAAAAACAAACAATAAAAACATTTTAATAATAACTACAAAAACCATAACATGTGTCAACACTACTTGTATGCGCTGACAGGAGACCAGTAGTTCAGCGGTGGTTCGGATGGCATCAGGAAATTGTAAAGTCATTGTTGTCCGCAAAGTACTGAACAAAGACATCGACACAAACACCGCTTTGGCTGTCAATACATTACCCGTCAGTACGTATGTTATGAATACTGCGAATAGTATTATATGTGAGGCCGCGTAATAAATGGACAAATTGATCGCCTTTAGGAAGCATCCTAACCGAATACGACCCACCTCGCTCCTATATATACAACAATGTAAAAAAATTATAATATTTAATATAAATGAATTTTATACATATCTATTACAATGTAAAAAATTTGAAAAAGATATTGGTAGGGAACAAAACATTTATTAATTTAAAATGATAAAAATTTATAAGTCCAATTTTAACATTACAGTTTAAAGTGTAATAATAGTTTTAAAATGAATACAAAAATGTATACATACTTGCGGGCGGTGTCCACGAGTCGGGCGAATGACTGTTCCCAAGCATACATCTTAATGACTCGCATACCAGTGATTATTTCATTCATTAATTTCAAACGACTGTCCGTTAACTTTGCCGTTTGTGACCTGTATTTCAAATAAAAAATAATTTAGTTTTAACAAAACTTTATAATTTGATATTTTTAACGCTATGTATTTATTGCCCAATTGTTACCTCAGTTTAGAGAAAAGTTTGCCCATAAATGTCTGAAACGGTATTAATAGCGCCAATAGTCCGACGCCAACGAAACAATAGTAACTCACATAACCGTACATTATATATATGGCGACCGCTGTCTGTATCGGTCCTATAATCAAATAACAGGCCGAAAATGTGAACTATTTAAACAAAATATAATAATTAATATTAAAACATATTATTTTTTTAAATATATAAAAATTATAAATGTAGAAATTGAGCGCAAACTATACCATAGAAAAGCGATTTACATCGTTGGACATTAGGTTCACAATTTGACCCACAGTTGTTTCGGCCACCGCTGCCCGGCTCAGTTTTAGAGACTAAATAATTATAAATAAATGTATTTATTAATGTATACGTATTAATCACGAATAACCAATGGAAATAATAACAACAATCATTTTACCTTTTTATACATGAGGGTACAAGAGGCGATTCTCATTTTCAATGCCATACGAAACAGCATAAAAAGTGCAGGGTGATGGATTGTGGTCAACAGGGCTGAGCACAGGCACACACCACCGGCGGCCACACACGCCTGCATATACGTGATATTCCCGGTGTCGCTGAAAAAGTCAATCACAATACCCAATAGCATTGGTTGTCCGATACGTATCACACATTCCTATAAATAACATAGATTTTAGTTATAATGATATAAATATTGAATTTAATATAAATAATATAACCTACCTCAAATGTATATACAACGAGTGCCAACCAATAATATTTAGAGTACGTCCGATACAACGCTTTCCAAAATTTTGGACACCGTTTTCGACACTCGAGAATCCAATTCCTGACAAATTAAACGATTATTTATTATGAATACATAACTCTCGCCTCACTGTCGCCCCAACCCTACACTCCCGTACATACCTCTCCAGGTTTTTAACAATACGGGCCGACTCATCGTCTCGGGGGCACCGATACATGTCCTCAATGTTAAGTCCATTATTACGATATCCCGTGTAGAACACTCTGACCATGAATCTGAGTTTTGGTGGCAATTATCATGATTAAATAAACATTTAATGGATCAAATATTTTATTATGCATTTTGTTTTTTAAAATATCAAAGTTAATAATAATATAAATTTTTTTAACAAACTAAAATTAATTTTATAAATATGACAATAAAACAGTTTTTGGCTCAACTCTAATTCATACTGTATAGCGTATGGTAGAGCGGGTCCGTTGAAAGGACACAGACCCAGTAGTAGTGGGCTCTACCCCGGCATTAATCCCTCGGTTAGTGGGAGTTGTGCTTAGCCCCCACCCCAACTTTCCCCAAACAAAAATCTAAACACATTTTATTGGGGTAAAATTTAAAATGTAATTTATACTTTATATGTTTGCTGTGATCAGTGTTTTATAAATTACTATGGTGATTTATGTCTAACAAATTAGGTCTAAGTTTTAAAATTATATACGTATAAATCTAAATGGTTCCAGACATTTGGAACAACCATGTTTGTTCACCGAGTAGAAATTATTTTATCATAAAATCTATGGAGTATCTATTTTGGTTTGGGTTCCTTTACCATGCGCTCAATCTAGTTGACAACATAGATGTTCTGACTGTACATACGTGCGAGATGTAAGTCATCATGAAGGGGACTCCAGCCGCCATACCTCGGGGTCCGAGTCGTCCCCTCTACCACTGAGCCACGCGCTCACGCATTTGCATTCTAGCATGATCTGGTAGTATAAATACAAAGTAATTAATCGTGTTTTAAATATATAAATAACAAAATAATTATATTCGTAAACATAATCATCTCATTTGAGTCCAACAAATACATACGATAGAAACATTTTCTGAATAAAATTGGCTTTGTCCCATGGTGACTTTTTAGTTATTTTAGGCTCTTCTCGCATTATGGTATTGTAGTTAATTATAATAATTGAAAAATACACTTTTGATTAAAAAAAACACACTATATAAATCCACAATTCAATTACTGTTAAAACTTATCAAAAGTGTAACGTTTACTGAAAGTCATGGAGTTTTTATGTATAAGAAAACATAGGATTTCATTGTAATTGTAAATTATTGCGCAAAATCTAATCGAAATAATGACGTAAACAAAGTTTATTATATAAGACGATTTCAAACGTTATAACACTTATCGTTATCAATGAGATTAAATATTATTTCAAGTGAATAAATAAAAAAATACAAAATGATTTTACTATTATAGCACACATAAATTATTGTATGTTAAGCTTTAGTTTAGCATGTACATTATTAAGTGGGAATTTACGGTAGCAAACCTGTTATTATGCCAAGGTTTCCATTTGACCCTGGTCATATGATCATTGTATTTAGGTACAATTGAACTGATACAGGGTGGGGATTAAGTATGTCTTTTTTAAAAAACGTAATAACTCGTAAACTATAAGACATAATTTATTCAATTCTTTTGCAACACATACACAAAAGTATGGCATGATTAAATCAGGTTTCCAAAATCCTATGATGAGCTCCAGTCCCGGGGCTTAGACTTCATGTCTATTCTCAGCGATCAGGAGAGGGAAGCGGACGATAAAACAGCCGTAAAGGATAGGGAGGACAGCGAACCAATAGTAAGGGTCGTATCCGTGGATAAGGAGTCCGACAGCGAGGAGTCGGATGAAGAGAAGTCCAAAGAGAAGGAACCGATGATTGAACCAAAAATACGCGACGAAAACCGAGAGATCGGATCGATTGAGGGTCGGGTGTATTGGATGTATGCGAAGGCCGGCGCCGGACCACTAATGCTTATCATTGCTATAACTGCCGCAGTTTTATCGCAGGTTATATTAAACTTATCTGAAATATTTTTATCAAAATGGTATTTATATTAAATGTTTTATGTTAATTAAGAATGATTTTATTATAAAATTATTTAATATTTATTTATTTAATCAATTAATCATTTTTAATTATATAAAGGACTGAAAAATACCAGAATAAGACATCCGAACAAATTGACCATGATCAACAGAATATGGATGTTATAATCTATTCATCACTAATCGCAGCCCTATTTGTGACGGCACTAATCCGAGTGATCACGTGGTTTATGATGTGTATGCGGGCATCGGTTAGACTTCATAACAGTATATTTTATAGTTTATTACGGACTCCCATATCATTCTTTGACAACAATCCCGTCGGTAATTAATGTCAATATTTAAATTAATATTTTTAAGTTGCATTTTATAATGATAATTTAAAATAACCATGTACCATTCATTTCTACATTTAGGTCGTATATTGAACCGATTCTCTAAAGACATGGGCGGTGTTGATGAGAGACTGCCCTCAAATGGATATGAATTAAATATGGTAACTAATAATAAAATAATATAACTGTTAAATAATATGCAAACTTAATCATTTATTTCAACCTTCAGGCAATAACTCAGGTCATTGGTATCGCTGTGAACGTGTCTATTGTGAAACCCTATCTAATATTACCGGCAGTCATATTAACCATCGTTAGTCTATTCGTGAGAATAGTGTACATTAAATCAGCGAGAGATCTACGTAGACTGGAGGGTGTGGGTGAGTTATTTGCACACATTATAACAAAACAGTATGGTTAATTAAAATTTAATTAATTTTTGTGTCAATTAGCGAGAAGTCCAGTGTTTACTCACATAAGCACAACACTGAATGGGTTGGCCAGTGTCCGGGCCTTTGGAGCGCAGGCAGAGTTTGAAAATCAGTTCAATGTCTACCAGGATGACACTACCGGCACGTGGTTTATGTTTTTAGGCACAGCCCGTGTATTGGCAATGGTTATGGAGTGGATTAGTATATTGTATATAGTGGTGGTTAGTGTAGTATTGATGGTGTTTTATGAAGGTATTGGTGGTGGAAGTGCTGGACTGGCCCTGTCTTCAGGTAATACTTATTTTAATTACAATAATGAGTGTTATATTAATGATTGTTGTGTTTTGTATGTTAGCAATAATGTTGACGGGAATCGCTCAGAGAGGAGTCCGACAGTCGGCAGAGTTAGAGACTCAGATGACTTCAGTCGAGCGCATCATTGAGTACTCAAAACTACCACAAGAGGCGGCCCTCAACTCCGATGACGATCGCAAACCCCCACCTGATTGGCCACAGAAAGGACAGATAGAACTCAAGGATATAAGTCTATACTACGAGGGATCAGACAAACCGGTGCTCAAGAACTTGAATTGTGTTATAAAGAGTGGAGAGAAGGTAGGGATCTGTGGCCGGACGGGCGCCGGCAAGTCGTCTATCATATCAGCGCTGTTTCGTATGGTTGAGCCAAAGGGGGAGATAGTTATGGACGGCATTAACACGGGATCAATAGGTTTGCATGAATTGCGGTCAAAGATCTCAATCATACCTCAAGACCCGGTGGTCTTCACGGGAACCGTTAGAAAAAATTTGGATCCTTTCGGCGAATACAGCGATCAATCGATTTGGAGTGCCTTAGAAGAGGTGCAGCTGAAGGGGGCGGTGGGGGACCTCCCGGGCCAGTTGGACGGCCAGTTAACTGAAGGGGGCGGAAATTTGAGTGTAGGTCAGAGGCAGTTGGTATGTCTGGCGCGGGCTATACTGCGGCACAATAGGGTA